ATTTTAGTTGGGTCTGTTGTGATGTTGCCTGATTCATCTCTTATTCGGATTATTTGTGTCTTCCTTCTCCTTTTGTGAGTTTTGCTAGTGGTTTGTCGATTTTATTGACCTTTTCAAAGAACTAACTGCTAGTTTTGTTGATAGTTTCAATTGTTTTTTGATTGTCTATTTTATTTATCTCTGCTAATTTTTATAATTTCAGTTTTTTTAGAAACTGATGGGTTTTCTTGCTGTTCTCTGATTCTAATTTTGATCTGTTGTTGTGTATATAGAGTTGGAACCAACCCATAGCTGACCCTCTAGCGGCTTTTCAGAGGTAATTAAATGCACAGGAGATTGCCCATCTTTCTCCCAAGGAGCAGCTGGTAGCCTCAAACTATATGCTTTTAGGATTGCAGTGCAGCTTTTTGCCCCAAGCCCACCAGAGCATGCTAATTTTTTTTGTCTAGTATTGCATAAAACTTGCCATGATAAAATAGAAAAAACAGGCTTAAGAGGGGGAGAACATCCATGAATTGCTGATAATAGTAACTGTTAAAGGTAGTCTGTGGGAATCCAGCTTCAGATTTTCCTAAGGTATATAACTTTTCACTCAAGTGCAACTAGCCTGCCGAATCTAGGCAAGGATTTTGAGATTTCACCTCACATACTTTGATCATATAATCAGAAGAGGCCAATACCTGGAAAGAAGGGTATCTTGCATGTTAAGACAGGAGTCAGCAAAAGAAAGGAAGGCCCTCAATGGGACAGCACAATGAGTTTAAGCACAGCAGAGATTGAGGATGGCATACAGCATCAGGCAGGTGTTCATTCTGTTGTACATAAGGTTGCTTAGTCCAAGCTGACTCAGTGGCATTTAACAACATCCTCTCCTTTTTTACCTTATTACATGTAAGGATGTAAATACTGTTTAATTGAATGGAAGGACCCAAAGTTGTAAATTTTGTGTTAAAAAAAGCACACAGCAATAATTTATCTTTGCCATTTATCATTTTCATGCATTGGATTTCATATCTAAATGTATAAGGAGATGTTACTTTTTTTCCTGAGAAATTGATTTGACCATAGCATCTATATATGAACATTCAAGAGTCGAACATTTGGGCAAAATCTCATTAAACTAAAATGGGATAACCTAATTGTCTTTCTTACATGGTATTTTGAAGGAGAGTTTGCAGACACTTCCTAACTACCGTCCCTTCACTTGAAAGACTGTACTCTGGCTAGAATTAGGAAATGACAGCAAGTATTTTTCTCTTTAATCTGTCTCAGTAGCCAAGCTCTTGAGACATTTTTATTGTTTGTTGAGAACCTAGCGTGTATACAGTAGTGGGCATTTAGAGTGTCCAGGTATAAAAATGAAGGACGTTGTGTCCAGGAACTTTATAATTTGGGGAGAAAAGGACTTGCACACTTAGAAGACTTACATACATGAAAAAAGAAAAAAGTTGACAAAATTTAATCAAGTTCTTGGGTATTATAGTATCAAAAGTAATGAAATACTTGAGGTCATTGTCCCAGAATTCAGTGTCTAGTAATAAAAATTTTAAAAAGCAGAAGGTTGAGCTTAAAGAAGGTATAAAGTTAAGCCTAGCCTCAGGAGAATTAAATTATGAGTGGAAAATTGTGAGTAACATGTTAAGTGAAGCCTAGAATAATTTAACAACCATTAAGTTTAGACAGGTTGAAATTTTATGTGTCAAAAGATTTTCACTAGATTGAATATATAAAAATTATGTGTTGTTATGTAGCTTCAAATGACAATGACGCGTAGTTACCCCTCCAGTGGGTTTTCAGAGGCTATAAATCACATTTATAGAGAGGAGATTGCCCATCTTTCTCCCCTGGAGCAGCTGCAGATTCAAACAGTGAACCTTTGGGTCGGCAGCGCAAAACCTTACCACTAAGCCGCCAGAACTCCCTATTCACTTGTATTAGCTCATTTAATCTTCAGTTACTGTTCCCATTTTACAGGTATGGAAACTCAGCATAAGGAAGTTAATGAACTTGCCCATGGTTATAAAGTGAGATGCCTGGGATTTGAACACAGGCATCCAAGCCTTAACAACTATAGGATACTGTCAAGTGTGAACCACAAGTTGGGGCAGGTTTAGACTATCAGTATCAGAGAGACAACAATCTAAATGTTCAACATTTAAATAAACATTCAAATTAAATGGTTAAGTAAAAAAAAAAATTATGTAAGTTAAAAAAAAATAGCATTTGGTTTATTATTTTGTGAGAATGCTAATTTTTTTAATATTTATGTATGTGTTTCAGGAAAGAGAAAAAGTAATGAAATGATCTCAAATTTAGCCAAGAGGCAAAAGGCAGATCTCAGTAATGAACATCCCCCCTTTTATTACAACATCCACAGACACAGCATTAAAGGAATGAATATGCCAAAGTAAGCCAGCCAGTAAATGGCAAAGTGTATAGTTTCTATTTTAATGATGTTGTACCTATAACCACCTTACTTGGTTTTTTTCTCCTTTCCTCACCACAGGTTAAAAAAGTTTTTGTGCTATCTTTCTCAAGCAGGCTTTCGAGTAAGCCGAACTCATTTTGACCCAATGGGTGTTCGTACAGATGCACCTCTGATGCAGTTTAAATCTATCCTTTTAAAGTACAGCACCCCAACCTACACTGGAGGACAGCCTGAGGGCCAGGTCCAGTCAGCATCTGAAGATACAGTAGCTAACAAGTTGAAATGCCAGTGAAAAAGCAGAAACAAGCAAGCTGCAGAAGTTGGTAAATGTAGTTTATTCCCAGATGTCTACATAGATGGCCTGCTAGTTCTGTATGCCAACCAACAGTAGTTCTTTTTCTATCCTTTCAAGAGTGTAAAAATAAAAACAGTGGTGTTTTCATTCAGTTAATTAGCTGTTTCTAACTTAGCTGGTTTGGGAGCTGTTTTCCATGGTTTTTCTTATTTTAAAGAAAACTTTAAAAAATTTAACAAAAACATTTCATATATGAAGCCTAGTTTCTGACTGAGATCATCCTGCCGTTTTAATAACTGAAAATTTTCACATGCCGTGTGTGTGAAATTTCATGCTACAGAAGATAATCTTGTACTAGTCAAAGTTACATCTCTACTTATACAGATTGTTTTTCTATTTGTAATGTACAAAATAAAACCAGTCTTTTAAATCTTGAAATTACATTGGATCAGTAACAGTGTTCTTCCAAGTCACTTACATATCTCAGTTCAAGTGTTCCAACTTACAGTGTCATACGTCTTTCCAAAGAGATCTTTTACTACTGGCCCTTTTTTCCTTCTAATTACTAATTTTTGAGAAATACCTGAGATAGACATTTTTCTTACTAAAGTCTAGATTAAGATTTTTGTCAAAATAAATTGACTCTTCTTAACACTGAAATTCAGAAGAGATTTCCTAAGTTAAACACATTGGGTGATCTCCAGTGCCTCAGTTAATGCATGTACAACATTCATCGCTTGGTTGTACTACCTATTGGAGGTACAACTTAGTACCTGTCCATATGCATGTCTGTGTATATTTTTTTAAAAGCAATCTAGGTAACAGGACAAAAAAAATTAGGAGAAAAATTTATTTCTATTAATGTCTTTTTTGCCTCGTTTGAATATGTTTGGAATGAACAGATTTGGTATGAATTCCCCCCCCCCCCCGGAGTGTTTAATTACTACTTTACACTGAGGTATTTCTTAGAAGCAACTTTTTATAACCATTAAGCTTTGGGAAGAAAGTAGAGCTTTTAAGTAAAGGGTTTAGACATTTGTTAGAACCTCACTATTATGACATAAACACTTTTCATTTCCTTCATATGCATGTAAAAGGTGAACAGTGTTATCAATAAATAAGGCTGAAGAATTGATGCCTTTGAACTGTGGTGGCTGTGGAGTACTGAGTATAGCATGGACAGCCAAAAGAAAAATTGAATCTATCTTGGAAGAAATATGTTCCTTAGACACAAGGACGGGGATACTTTGTCTCACATACCTTGGGCATATTGATAGGAGGGATCATTACCTGGAAAACATCATTCTTGGAAAGGTAGAGGGTCACAGTAGGAGAGGAAGGCAGATGTGGTCATTGAGAGGATGGCTTGAGCACGAGAGAGAGAGTGGAGGGTCAGGCAAAGTTTAGATCTGTGGTAAATGGGGTCACTGAGTCAGAGTGTATCAAAGGCATCTAATTACAATGACGGAGAAAGAGTATACAGTATTAGTGAAAATGTTATTTCAAAAGATTTTTTTTCTTCCTCAAATTACTGCCATCATGTATTTTAATAAATGGGTGAAGTGAAAATTAGTCTCTGATGTCCATAAGAAAAACTCCATTCTCTACTATGATTTAGACATACTCTTTAATTGAATGTCCATTTCAAATTTCACAAATGTTTATTAGCATGGAAGTTGGTTTTCATACATTTTATTTTGTAACATTAATATCCACAATATAAAAGCACTGCTCACTTTGACTCGGATTCTCATTTTCATCAGTCCAGTCCTACCATTGTCAGCCTTTGGAGCTTGCTTTTAATCTTGTCTAGCTGGTTGTCCTAAGGTCTAAGCACCTCCCTGATGTTAGTGTTTACTTGAAAAGTCCTATTTCTTGGATGAAAGGTCAAGCTGGAGGTGAATTTTGTTCTGGGCTACAAGAATTACTTATAGTCAGTCTTGGAGTTCTACCAGTCTTTATCAAGCCAGTAATTCTGGCCAATCTTGGATGTTCATGTTTTGTTTCACAATGCCATTTCAGCAGGCTCAGTTTTTACTGTGATCTCTTTTAGAGTGGTGAGCAGTGGGAGCTGAGACCAATGCAGGTCTGGTCTGATGGTTGAGAAGTTGAGGTGCTAAGGTCCATATTAGTCCTTTGGGTTTACCAGTTTCCATAAATCTATGTTTTTTTCTTCTCTCTTTAGTCCAGACAGGGAGAGACCAATAGTAGTCCCTCAGGTTTTAAAACCTCAATTGCCACTCATCGAATGCAGAGAATTGTCTCTGTAGACTGTTAACGCCAGTTGACTGGTGTACACAGCATGACTTTGTTTTAATCAATGATGAAGTTTATGCCAAGAGGTAGATTTAAAAGGCATGTCAGTTGCTATTATTTAAAATGTATGTGTTTAAAAGAGGAAGGTGATAACCCTAAGGTTGCTATGAATTATTTTGGGATTCTGCAATACTGTATTGCATCATTCTAAAGAAATACTTTAAAATGCTACTTAATTCTACATTGGTCATCAGTTGCCACAGAAGAGTAATTTGGGACACTGTGCATGTTCGTCTTAGTGTAATAGTTACATCAGTTGTGTCCTCCATTAAAACCAGTTCTTACCCTACCATCAGGAAGCCAGTGTTAACTCTGATGACTACTTTATATTGTACCCATAATAGACATTTGGGAATTGGGAGAAGTAATCAAGAAATGGGTTTGTAGTGGCTATGAGGAAGTTGGATTATGACTCTTGACTTCCGTAAGACATGAATAAAGTTCTGGCTTTCATGAGTTAGAATCAATCTAAAACCAATGCAGTAATCCCAAAAGGTCAAGGATTTCAACTCACCACTGAGTGTTTGCTCTGGTCATAGGCTCCTCTGGCGAAGGCTAAAAAAGATACATACTCGTGCATACTTGTCATTTTGTGTAAAAGTCCTTTCTCAAGTGTTAAGTCCCAGAACTGGGTAAGCAATCATGACTTCAATATAGAGCAGAGCAACCTCATGCATTTTTAACCCCATGGATCACTTGGTAAATCACACCTAGACTACTGACTATGTGAGTCCTGCTGGCCCATTACAGTAACCATGTCCACATTTCTTGTCTAGTAAGAAAATGAAGGCTATCTCACTGAGAACTGGCCTGTACAGACACAAGTTTCAAGGGTGGTAGTACACTCTTGGCACCAACAGTAGGGAAATCAAAAGATGAACTGCACTGAGAAAATCTGTTAAGAACCTCTCCAGAGTACTGAGAAGCAACGATGTCAGACTTGAGACTAAGTTGTGCCTAATCCAGGCCATGGTCTTCACAGTTACTTGCTATGTGTCAGAGAGCTGTACGGTAACTAAGGATTAGAGAAGAACTGATACATTTTAATTGTGCTGGAGAAAAGTCTTGAACATAGAATGGACCACCAAGAAAACAAATAGGTCTGTCTTGGAGAGGGTGAAACCAAGTTTCTCTTCGGAGGCTAGGATTTGGAATCACCATCTCACATACTTTGTGCACATGGCCAAGAGGGACTAGTCCTTGGGGAAGGACGTCATGCTCAGAAAGTTGGAGGGACAGTGCAGGAGAGGAAGATTCCAGATGAGATGGATTGAAACAGTACTGGGACAATGGGGATAGTTGTGTCCAAGTCACTGAGACTGGCTTAGGACAGAGAAGGGTTCAGAGCTGCTGTACCCAAGTTGCTATTCGTCACAGTCGACTCAACAGCACGTAACAACTGGTCTGCAGGTAAGGAGCTGTGCTGCCAACCCAAAGGCATGTAGTTTAAATTCACCAGCTGCTCTGAAAAAAAGATGTTCCTTGTGTGCAATTCCCTGCCTTTGAAAACCTGCTGGAGGTTAAGCCATGTGTCAGTTCTGACTTAACAGTATTTAACAAGAAGTGCTCTGGTAGGAAACTGGCCTAGTGGGTAAAGAGATCAGTAACCAACCCAGAGATAAGTGGTTCAAATCCACCAGCTAGCTGTTCCTTGTGAGAAAACTGGACATTCTTCCATACGCTGTATAGCCCTCTAAAAGCAGCTGGAGGGTCAGCAATGAGTCAATTCTGATTCAGTAGAAATGAGAGTGTTTACTGGTGGCCCACTCATTCAGTAGGGAGCTGCACTGCCAACTCAAAGCCAAGTGGTTCAAATCCACCAGCTTCTCTGAGGGAGAAAAATGGTTAAGTCACTTCTTGTGTGATTTGTTGTTAGGTGTCACTGAGTCAATTACAACTCAGTAACTATGAACAAAAGATCTGAGCCATCCTTAGGATCTGATACACTGCCTCTAAATCCTGCATGGCAGCAGTGAGTCAGGTGCTCTGCTAATACCCCTGGGGGCATATGAAGTAAGAAATACCTTGGGCTCCTAACCAAGGTCAACACTTCGAAGCCATCAGTGACAGGCAAGTGGAAAACTCAATGGAGGGTCCTTAAGGGTGTACACTGCTCATCAGTGTTTCTCAATTTCCTCGGAGTCAACAAGCCTCTCATCATACATAGTAAAACCTCTCCGGCAGTTCTCCGAAGTTACGGGTTTTTTTTTTCCTTTCTCTACATTATATAATGGCATTTCTAGTTTCTCACCTTCAATGATGAGCTACTGCTGAGACATTTTCTTCCAGTCAAGTAAATGAGGACCAGTCAAGAGTTCACACTTTTAAAAAAAAAAAAAAGAGTTCACACTTACCCACTGTTCCTCAAAGATTTAGTAGTAATCCTTTGATGTGAAAAACAATGTATACCACACCTTTGTAAGCAAACTGTATAAAATAAAAATTAGGGGTTTTTTTTTAAAAAAAGAAAGCCAAGAAAATCTATGGGACTGTTCTACTCTATAGCTTGGATTCCCTAGGAGTCAGAATCAACTAGGCAGCATGCACAACAGCCAATCAGAGGCTGTCATTAAATGCTGTGCACAATTAAGGAAAAGTATTTTGGATTGAGAGATTGTTTTCAAAGAAATGTAGTAATGGGAATGTAATGTGGTGGGAATTTATCTCCAGTTACATTCTACTAAAATATTAAAGGGACCTCTGTTGGCTTAGTGGCAAAGAAGCTGCACTATAATCCCAAAGATGCACAGTTAGAATCTACCAGATGATCTTCAGAAGGAGGGGCTAGCTCATCCTGTACCAGTTGGATTCAATTAGACAGTATACAACTAGAAATGGGAAAAAATAATCAGAATTATAAAAGGATATCTATGGTGCCTAGATTTAAATTCCCAAAATAAGAATAAACTAAGGGAGAATTTTCTTGACAGGAAGTAAATGAACCGCCAGATTTTAAAAGGCCATAATTCTACACAGTCTCAGTGAACCTAGAGGATGTCCCAGAGGGCAGAACATCAAGAGGACTGCTCAGACACCTTGACATCCAATGGAATTCGTCCTGTAGAGTTGGTAATTGGGATGAGAGAGATTTCTTTCTTCTAGTATTGTTCTGGGAACAGAAATGTCTTGTGCCTATTCCTCCACTGTAGGAATCACACAGATTCTAGTTCACAAGTACACAAATAGACATTTTAGATCATAACCAAAGTCTCAAGTATAACTTAGATGATATATTGGACTTAATGCTTAAATAGGTTTAAGATTCAGAAACCGGAATGTGGCAAATATATTTTACACATGGGATGTGAATTCTAGGGGTCAGAATACAGACTATGGTAGGTTTAATAGTAGCCCCCCAAAAGATATGTATGTCTACCCAGGAATCTCAGAATATAACCTTATTCAAAAAAAGGATTCTTACAAATGTAATGAAGGCATTTAAGATGGTGGTATACTGCCTTAGGATGGGCCTCAAAATCATGAGTGTTCTTAAAAGAGATAGGAAAGGAGTAGAGAGATACAGATATTGGATGATTTGTACACAGCTAAAGAATGTCACCAAATGCCAGCTTTTTGTTAGATGTCATTAAGTTGACTAATAAGACTCATAGGGATTCAACAGGATCAGAAATCCTGCCCTATCCTGCACCATCCTCATCTCTGATATACTTAAACATCATTGGTAGTCACTGTGTCTATCTTGTTGAGAGGGTCTTCATGTCTCTTGCTGATATGTTTCACCATCCTTGCTCCTAAGGAAAAAAAACAAATCTGTCCTGGAGGAAGGGAAAATCAGCGTATTCTTAGGCAGGAAGAGTAGTGATACTTCATTTTGCATATTTTGGGCATGTTATGAAGAGGGTCCAGTCCCTGGAGAAAGACTGCATACTGGAAAAGGTAGAAAGAAGTCAGCAAAAGAGAGGAAGACCTTCAACTAGAAAATGATTACGGCGACCTTGAGCATGACAGAAATGAGGATGATGATGCAGGAAAGGGCAACAGTTCAGACCTGTTGTTCCTATGTTTGCTATAAGTTGTCATTGACTAACCACACCTAGCAGTAAGACCTAAACATCTTTTCATGCATATATCGTGGTCATCTGTCCTTTTGTCAGTGCTTACAAAACAAATGTCCTCTCCCATTTTATTACTGAGTTGTCTTTGTTTTCAAGTGGACATTCAATTCCTAGTTTGATGAGCATTTTCAATCACTAAGGGTGCTTCTTTAATTGAGATGTTTCTTTCCTTCCCCTGCCCCTCCCATTAATATTAAGACCACCATTTGTTTTCTTCTGTTAAACCACTCTTGCATCCCTGAAGTAAATCCCACTAGGTTATATAATCCTTTTCATATGCTATCTTCAGTTTGCTAGTATAGTATTGGAATCTCTCCCTGCCCCCATACTGAGTAGGAATATAGTCTGTATTGTTTGCTGTGGTATTCTTAAATGGATTTATCTTCGTGATAATGCTGTCCTCAGTGGCAGAAGTAGTCCCTTCTCTAATAAAAATGCAATGGGCGTCTAAAAAAAGTGCCTTTTTCTAGCTAGAATTTACTATTTTGTGTTCTCAAGCACAAAGGAGCAACAACTAATCCTCAAAGAATTCTTGATAAAATTAAAAATGGTAGCATATCCAAGAGTTGTCTTTCAGAGTATTCCACTCTGCTCGGTGAGCCTTTCTGCCCATAATACGAATAGCCACAGAAATTACATAGGGAGTACTTTATGAACTGATAAAACTATGATGGTGAACATTTCTCCCAAGCCCCACTCCTAGGGGAAGAAAACATCCAACAAAACCACACAAACACAGTACATTCAATGATCTATCAAATACCTGTAATTATAGTCTGAAAAGGATTACATTATCCAATGAATTCACAATGGTGCAGAGTTTTCATCCTCCCATATGGACAAATAAGCATACAAACATTCCCTAAGCACAAAGCTTATATTCACAAATAATTTTTTTGTTTAAGACAAAACTTCAATTAATAATCACAATGGGAATTTATTTAATGCAACCACTAGTCTAATACGCTCCCAATAAAATCTAAGCAGCTGTATCACAAAACCAGGATTATATTCAGTGGACATGCATTAATAATCTATACAACTTAACTTTACACCAAAAAAAAAGGAACTGAGTATAAAATTTCCTTTAATTTTTGGTGATTCTGAAATTTCATGGCACAGTTTTTAAAAAAAAAACACTTCTGTAAAAAGCAGATTTTAAACATCTTCAATAAAATGGTAAAAAAAAGGGATTAAGTCTTTAAAGTTTTTATACTAAGGTTAAGACTTAAAGCATCAAGCTGGCCCCAATTTGTCAAAATTGACAGATAAATATGTACAACGACTAGACAGGCTATAGTAAAAGAGTACTGAAGGACTATTCCCTTCTATCAAAACTCTTTTTGGGAGGCTAATTTCTCAATGCAAACTTGTCTCTGTAAATACTGTGATAATATAAACTTGGAAACATACACAGAATCAGGATAGCATTAAAAAGTAACATACAAGCAAATCTTACTTCTGACCTGTCAGCATAAACCATCTAGCTTCGTAACACTGTGTCCCCCCAAAACAAAACTAATCGCAGAATGACTTTCCTAGCTAGCATTATCTCCCTCCCGCCCGCCCCTATGCCCCCAGCTGGCATTCTACAGAATTCTTTCTCACTGCATACCCAAGTAGGGGCTCATGGTCTGGTAACATCAGGCCTTCATTCTAGTTCAACTCCCTGTTGGAATTTGCATTTCTACCTCAAGAATACTTAAATCTAAATGATCCTCAGGTAATTCTTTTGTATATATCACCTGGAAATCTTTTTAAATTTAGATCCTGATTCACTGTATTTGGGGAGGAAAGAAATTCTCGGCAGAATAAAGGGGCTGAAGTCCTAGTTAACCTCCTCCTTGAAAGTATAATTAGTAGAGCACCAAATTTATAAACTGATGTAGCAACCTAAATTGTTAAACACATTTTTCAATAGAAAACCAACTTTTTTTCACTGTTCATTCTATGTGCTACTTTCCTCTTGGAACTTACATGGCTACTATTAAGAAAAAAATTAAGGAAGATTTGAACATATCTTGTACTTTTCATCAGGCTAAAGTGCAAAATATCTCCTTATCTCTGGTATTTCAAGAAACAAAGACATCAAACACGTATAATTAAGAAACTGAAGTGACAATGAAACTTATAGCAAAAAAAGACCACTTTAAATACACATTCAAAGACTACAAATGACCGATTTAATTTTTCTTTCATAGCGAATCTATATATGAATCAAGTTCTCACTGAACTTGAGATTTTTATTCTCTTCCCCAGGATCAAAATTTCCAAGATTATTATAAGGAAAAAAGAGCACTGCATGACAATGGACACGAAATTAATATAGAACTTCTTTCAAAAACGAGATCTTATGGAAGAAAATACCATGAAAATAATAATCCTATGAGAATTGTCTTTTAAGTACGATAAATTTGAGTCTTGGTCTTCAAGAAGATATTATAGCTCATATAGAAAACTATAAATATACAAGACTCTGGGAAGAGGGGAAAGTCAGAATACATATTTTGACATTCTTTGGGTACAAAAAACATTGGGACAGAGAGAAGGATGTCTAACTGAATTTTCACTTCAAAATACATAACTATGGAAAACACCTAGGTCAAAAAAGTCCTCAAAATGGAACTATAGTTTTAGAGGAAAGAAGGGGAAAAAAATGTTTGTTTGTTTTTTCAAAAGGAAAAGAAAGTATTAATTGTAGTCCCTTCCAAAAGGGAAATCTTAAATTAAGGGGAAAGACTCTAATAGTATAAACTAGTCTGGCTCAGAAAAAAATTGAACAGCAAATCCAAGATTCTGTCCATAAAAGTAATGACGGTACATCTTTAATATTAAAGAACTAGGCTATAAAAAAGTTCATTCTCATAAATCATTTTTAGTAAAAGCTCATTTGTGCTCTTTTGTGGGTGCATAATAAAGTTCCATGGGTTTGTTCACTTTCCAGTATTTCTCACTGACCAATTCCAAAGAAAAAGAGCCATTTAATACCTAAAACAAAAAAGAAAAGAGTTATGTACAAAGTAGAATAATAGTAAGATGGAAAAATCAACAGAATCTTTTTTCCCTAGTTTAAGATAAACTGCCAGTTATTAACATCATCCCTATAATAACAAGGTATCATTAAGTATTCTATGGCAACTTCTCTTTCTTGAAGGTCTGCACTGTACAGTCTTGTTGGGCTCTACTCCACCATTTAGCATAGTCCCAAATAGCCAATGTGTTCCCTCTTTACACAGTCCATTATATTATATACTTACAGTGAACTGGCCATTGGCAGTGGCTATATAAATGGTATACTGCTTCTCACTGGCTGTATCAAGGTTCATCTGGTTTGATTCTCCTTTGCTCCGAAGTTCTTCTAAAGCTAGTCTCACAGCCAGATACTTAGATAAGTGGTCAACAGTGGCGTTACCTGAAGTCTTTATGTATCTACAAAATTAAATCATGAAAAAACTTAATCTCTGGAATGTATTTTTTATTTTTAAAATTTTTTTATTATTAATTTTAATAGTCGTTTACAGAGGTTTTGGATTTCCATTCATTCATTGCCACACTTTTCTCCGTGCCCACCCCTCCCCACCAGTTCGCTCCCCACTCCAAAAAAAAAAAATTCCTTCATTAGTATACAATTTTCCCCCATCCCTTACCCCCCACCCCTCACCCCGAGTACACGTCTCTGTGCAACCTTAATTCTGGATTCTTGTGCTAACCATAATACTCAATCCTGTATCACCTCTAATCTGTTCTTTCCCTCATCTTTTTCAATACAATACACATAATTTATCCAGTTTTTTCTGTCATACCCCAGCCCTGATGTCAGACCCATTATACAACAGTGGCACCATGCAGTATTTGTCCCTTTGTGACTGAGATATTTCACTCAGCATAATGTCATCCTATTTTGAGTAATATTGCATGAGTTCCTTGTTTTTCAATGCAGCATAGTATTCCATTGTGTGGATATACACAGCTTCTCTATCCATTCACGATGGGCCCTTAGGTTGCTTCCAACTCTTTGCTATTGTAAACAAAGCTGCAATAAACATGGGTGTGCATATATCCGCCTGGATGGCAGACATGGTCTCTCTGGGGTATATTCCCAGTAATGGGATTGCTGGGTCAAATGGTATCTCTATTGTCAGTTTTTTGAGAAAGTGCCACACTGCCTTCCACAATGGTTGCACCATCTTACATTCCCACCAACAGTGGGAATGTAAGTTTCTCCACATCCTCGCCAGCATTTGTTGCTTGCTGTTCTGTTAAATTTTGCTAGTCTTACTGGGGTGAGACGATATCTCATAGTTGTTTTGATTTGCATCTCTCTTAGAGAGCTAGAGACTTTGAACATTTCTTCATGTGCTTGTTGGCCATCTGAATGTCTTCTTCAGTGAAGTGTCTGTTCATATCCTGTGGACATTTCTCAATTGGCTTATTTACCTTTATCTTATTGTGGTGTTCAAGTATTTTATAAATTCCGGATATAAGTCCCTTATCTGACATGTCATTACCAAATACTTTTTCCCAGTCTGTGGCTTCCCTTTTTACTCTACTGGAGAAGTTTTGGGATGTGCATAGGGATTTGATTCTTAGAAGGTCCCATTCATTTATTTTATCTTCTCCCAGTTGTAGATTTTTCAGGATACTTGGAAGACTTTTTATGTTGTGGATTAGGACCACTAAAGTTCTTCCAAGCTTTTCTTGAATGAAGTTTATAGTCCTTGGTTTTAGTCCTAGGTCCATGATCCACCTTGAGTTGGTTTTTGTATATGGAGTGAGGTGTGGATCTTGTTTGAGTCTTCTGCATACAGCTTTCCAATTTTGCTAGCACCATTTTTTAAAAAGGCTGTCATTTCCCCACTTAACTGATTTCATCTCCTTGTCAAAAATCAGTTGACCATAGATAAATGGGCTGATTTCTGGATTCTCAATTCTATTCCATTGATCTATGTGTCTCTCGTTGTACCAGTATCATGCTGTCTTCACCACCACGGCAGTGTAGTAGGATTTGAAATCAGGGAGAGAGATGCCTCCTACATTTTTTCTATTTTTAAGGAGTGCTTTGCTTATTCGGGGCTTCTTTCCATTCCAAATGAAACGAGAGATTACCTTTTCCATCTCCTTGAAGAATGGGATTGGTATTTGTATTGGGAATCTCTGGAATGTATTTTTAAAAACCCAAACCTATCAAATCTATTCTAACTGATGGCAACCCTCCATAGTGTTTCTGAGCTATGTGCCTTTACAGGAGGAGACTGTGCATCTTTCCTCTATGGAGCAGCCAGTAAATTCAAATAGCCAACCTTGGCAAGAAGCTGCACTGTAAACCCAGAGGGATGTGGTTTGAACCCACCAGATGCTCTGCTGGAGAAGGAAAGGCAATCTCCTCCTGTACCAGTCAGATCTGATTTGATGGTACACACACACACAAAATATCAAATAGCCAACTTTTTGGTTGGCAGTCTAACACATACTACATAGCATCACCAGGACTCCTTAGACTATTATAAATCAAAACAGACATATTAATGTAAATAAAATCTTTCTAAAAGGAAAAATTTAAATGCTTCAATTACTAATACTCATAAAAAATTTATTATTAAAAAGTAAAAGAGATGAAAGAAAACATGCATTAATCTGATTGCTAGAAAAATCAAAGTTCTTTATATGTCACTATCCATAAAATAATAAGATTTTTAAAAACCCCAAAAAACAAGTATACAAAATACTGAGGCACAAAAAGCCTTATATCCTTCAACCCCAAATTCTAGAAATTTGCTGTATCTATAGTAGCAAGAGTAATAGAGTATTAACAAATTTCTTATGATGGTACAACCACTATGGAAGGCAGTCTGGCGCTTTCTCAGAAAGTTAGAAATACCATTTGGCCCAGCAATTCCACTAATGGTATACTTTAAAGAAACTAGAGCCATGACTCAAACAGATATATGCACATGCATGTTTATTGCTGCATTATTCACAAGAGCAAAGAGATAGAGGCAACTGAAATGTCCATCAGTAAACAAATACTGGTTTGTTTAAATAAATACACTATTTCTTTCTATTGGATAGAAAAACTGTGGTATATTCATGCAGTGGAATATTACATAGCATTGAGGAAAAAAAACAATCACCTGATTAAACATTACACACCATGGGAGAGCCTGGAGGACATTATGCTGAGTTAAATATCTCAGTCACAAAAGGACAAATACTGCATAACACCACTGATACAAAATAGGGCAGACATGGTGGGATTGGGGAGAGAATGGGAAAACAAGTGGACTGAAGATGAACACTGCATTGGAACAGATGAGGAGAATGATCCAAAAGGAATATAAGATTAGGCACTGTAAGTATGACAACAAGCTGAAACAAGAGGTTCGTTCCAAGTGGAATAAGGTGGGGGGAAGGAAGAAAATGTGCATACGCGAATAAAAAAATATATAGTAACACCTGAGACCCACTCCCAAAAAACCTACAAATTTCCTATGGTGTAAAACTTAGCCAAATTTGATTTTTTTATATAAATATAAGTATGTTAATACTGGGATTTTGTGGGAGTTTTACATACATGATTCAGTAACTCAACAAACATTTGGAGCTTATCTGCATTCAGCAGTAGTAATAAAACAGCCATCTCATGAATTCTAGGGAGCTCTAGTAGCTTAGAGGTAAGGAACTACACTGCTAACCCAAAGGTATGCAGTTCAAATTAATGATTTTGTGACATAAACCATGCGATTTACTGCCTCTGAAAACCAGCTAGAGAATCAGCTATTGGTCAGTTCCAACTGATGGTACAAAACAATCACAATAATTTCCTAGGGAGCTGTGATGGCCTGTTTTTGTTGTTGTGCTATAGAGATCCTATGTACAATAGCAGTAACCCTGCCCTGTCCTGAGTCAGTCTCACTATATCCAACACACCTACCCCCATTACCAGTTATTGTCTCAGTCCTCTCCTGTGCTGTCCCTCCACCTTTACAAACATGATGTCCTTCTCCAAGAACTGGTCCCTCCTGGCCATGTGTCCAAAGTATGTGAAATGGCTCTTCAAAAGCCTTGCCTCCAAGCAGCAGCTTGGTTTCACTCTCTCCAAGACAGATATATTTGATTTCTTGGAAGTCCATGATAATGTTCAAGACTCTCTGGCACCACAACTCAAAAGGCATCAATAATTCTTCTGTAATTCTTAGTCATTATCTAACTCTCTGATGCATAGCAAGTAACTGCAAAGACCATGGCCTGCATCAGGCTCACCTTAGTGTCTAGACTGACATCATTGCTCTTTACCACTTTGCAGAGGTTCTGGAGAACAGATTTCCCTAATGCAATTCATGTTTTGATTTACTGACTGCTAGTGTCAAGGGTGTTGTTGTGGAGCAAAGCAAGCTGAAACTATTAGCAACTTCAATCCCCTCTCCATCTATCATGGTGCTGCCAGTTGGCCCAGTCCACCAATTGGCCTGGTGGCCTACTGGGAAGGAGTTGCACTGCCAACCCAAAGGCAGTGAGTTTGAATTTTTCAACTGCTCTGCAGAGAATGATGGGCAATCCCTTTTATACAATTTACTGCCCTTGTAGCATTCATATCCAAATATGTCCCCTGTCCCATCCCAATGCCCACCAATCTCTGATGAAACTCTCAATTCTGTGCAAGGACAAATTACTCAATAAGCACATGCTTAGGGTAGCAACAAAACAGAGGAACCATCAACTAATCAATTCACCAGTCAAGAGCTGTGGTGCCCTATTCCATAAAGAATCACACTAGCCTAAAGGTCTTGAGGCTTTGCTGGCAGTTTAAATCCACCAATAGCTCCCTAGGAGAAAGGTAGGCAATATTCTCCCATGCAATTTACAACCATGGAAACTGGCTGTAGCATCTGCTATGAATTGGTTTTGATTCAATGGCACATACACATTATTGCCCTAAGAAATTTCAATGATTCTCTCCCTAGTCTACGTAGGAGGGTCATTTCTTTCAGCTGTTCAATAGATGAGAACCATATTAGCAGGAAGAAAATAGGATACCTAATGGGATGGCAAACCTTTTAAAAAACAAAGCATACAAAAAGTTCTTTTAATTCCAAATTGAACATTCTGAATTCAGATTACCAGAAACTAATCAAACTTGAACTTAGTGAGGAAAAGTTCCTGGATAGCATTCCTGGGACTTTCCCTACTCACCCAACCTCAGTACGCCAAGAGCACAGACCACTGAGACTCGGGATAGAATGAGTCCTGGGAAGCATTCCTTTCCCAGCTCCAAAGGTGCTTTGTCTGCTCAAAGGGGAAACAGCCCCACATCTACTTCACATGTGAAGGAAGCAGCAGGCAATGAAAAACAGTAGGTATGGAAAAAACAAAACAAGCTGTCTCCTAAAAGAGCAGACCAGGTCAAGGACCCAGTGAACACCCCATGACAGGAAGACAGAAGAAATATACTAAAGAGTTCCAAGAACAGGTACTGAAGAAATTACAAATGTTGGAAGAAAAGAATTGAAACTGTAACTAAAGAGCAGTAAGAAATGGAAAAAACCATATCAAGACCAGATACAGTACTAGAAACAACAGAAAAGAATGGAAATGCAATCCAGAATATCAAGACTAGTATGGCAGAAATTTTCAGAAACTAATCAAACTTACCTTGTCTGTGCACTGTCATCTTTCTCCATAAGTGTGGGGTGTGGCCTGAATACTAACTCAATTTCACTAGCACCATCTATGACTGGATCAATTGCCACTGTTGTATTATTGTTGTCAAGTTCAAGTCCAGAATCATCTGATGTTTTGGTCCGTTTGTTACTAGGTCCTGCTTCTTGATTGCTATGTGTGGATGCATTACTACAGTGTGAACTATCACCATTATCTTCAGCTCCACTACCATTTTCAATCTGTTGTTTCTTGCCTCGCTGAAGTCTAGTTACAGAAAGGGGGGAGAAATAGTATGGCATTTACATGTAGGTATTTTCAGAGCATGAGTTTTTGAAGCATGTTTAATACTTTAGAATTCAATATCTTGAAAACTCAATTTGTACTAGACATCCAAAAGTATAGAAACAAACATACCCACAGGTACACAACATTTTAATTATTTAAACAAATAACATTTTCTTAATAATTTTCTTCATTAAACAAAAGAAAGAATATACCAGTTTTCTTTCTCACTTCATAATTTTGTTACGAAATAAATCTTAAAACAGGCATGACTCTGGTATGAAAATTTAATTGGTCCACAATTATTCCAATAGTAAGACCTAAAACTAGGATGTGATACATTTGGCAAAATTCCTGTCATCATACTGCCTGACTTCCTACCAACAAATCCAAGAAAAAGGGAGACAAACAATGAAAAAGAAGTATGAAAGAAAGGCATGCACGTTTAAGTATCATGTCACTATTATGTTTGATGTCAGAGAAGGAAGATCGCACAACGTAACAAAATGTTCAAGGGCCCTTGCCTTTTGGTCTGGTTTTTGTTTTGAAAGTATAAAATCCTGCCTATGAAATCTCTAGATAGATCATTTCAAAACTAAGAGGATATGCAAGAATAATATGGTGAGTTTAAAAGATATTAATTCAAGAAGCTATGATTCACAAAGGTATGAAAAGACCTAAAAGGTGGAACCACAAATTAACTCAACAGAGATGTTAAAACTATACATAAATATATCCCAAAATCTACAACTAAAGCAAATAATGGTTTGAGTGTAAACGAAAGTGAGCTAAAGAGATTACTAAGAATTTTTCGTTAATAATTGTGTCACACCTGTCTCTAAAAAAGGGTGTGAGGTGACAGAAACATGTAAATAGAACTTCAGGCAGCATTTATAAAACGATGCTCAGATAAAGAAGCTCATAACTTAATGTCTCATTTATTAAACCATATCTGTAAAAAATAGTCTTTGCTTGAGTTGCATTTCAAGAATGACAGCAACAAGACTGAACTTCCTATGAGGAATGATAAGATATATGAACTATTAGCCCTTAGGACTTTTTGGCTTTTAATTTCAATGTGAACAGATACTATTAGAGGCTTCTGAGCAATGGAGAGGGATCTGATTTTCAATTTAAAATAATCATTCTCACTGCTGTAGGTAAAAGCCTGGGAAACAGAAGACCAGTTTAAAGGTGATACTTTCAAATGAAAGATGGTGGTGGTTTGGACCATGTTGTAGAAATTGAGGACGTAAGAAGTGGTTACAATTTGGATATATTATGAATAAAGCTAAAAAATATTCACAGGCTGAAATATATTTTAATTTCATATGAAGTTGTTGTTGTTATGTGCCATCGAGTCGTTTCCGACTCATAGCGACCCTATGCACAACAGCTCTAAACCCTGCTCTATCCTGCGCCAAC